CCGGCCCACCGGGAGCTTCAAATAACGCCGGGCAACACAAGCGGGGGGGGAGAGCAGCAGGACGGAGAGACGCGACTCGCCCAGAAGGACCGTGACACTCCCCGATCTGTCGCCCCGCTGACATGCACCGCCGCTGGGGGTAAGGATCACCGAGGGGCGAAAAGGAAGTGGCCCAGGGCAGGGCGGTGAGGAAGCCCATGGGCTGATGCGTTTAGGGGCACACCCCCGTCAGCCGGACCCAGACTGGTAGTCAGTCGGAGTCCTTAGGGCCCTGGGCCGGGGCCCGTGAGTGAGGGCGGGCCCGGGCTCCCCTTTTCCCCCCTCCGCCTGGGGAGAACGTGCCAGAGGAGGAGTACTTGACGCCGAACGGCTAGAGGACCGCCCTTGCGAGACACCGGGCGTCCCAAGACGGGGACGACACGGATAGGTAGAGACGTGGCGGACCCCTATCCTCCCCTCCACCTTCCTCCCGGATAGGAAGGGGAGAGGCAAGACCATCACACCCCGATACTGGCGACTTCGAAGAAGTCACATAGAGGGAGATCGCTCGCCAAGCGTGACCAGATGGAATGCCATGGGGCCTACCTTTCATCACGCAGATGGCGAAGCCTGCCAAGGGCTGGCACCCCAGAGGCCCAGGACCTGCTTTTGGAGGAGGTCACGTGGCCGTCCACCCCGGACACCTTTAATGTGGCCCAGGAGCTGATCGAACTGACGGAGCTCGAGAGCAGACACACCTTCGGGGCCAGGCTGGTCCCTTCCTCAGCACAGGCACCAGCTCCACAGACAGCACCAATCCCCAGGTCCCCCAGCACTGGTTCATTCGGCACCATCACAACTGATGCAGGAGGCGGTGTGGTTGTCACCCTTGGCACCAGAGCTGCAGATGGTACCATGTCTCCCGGCACCTGGAGCACCAGACATGCCTCCATCGGCACTGCCACCGCACAGGGGTAAGCCATCAGCAATGGCACAGCATGTAAGAGGAGTGGAGCGCACCTGTTCCACAGTGCTCTTTTTAGAGTCAGATGTAGAGTCCCTGGGGTCTAGGGCATCCTCCCCTCGTACTGTGGTCTGTAGAGGGTCATAGTCCTCACAGGCTGCGAGGTAGTGGCACCATTCCCGATCTAGGCATAGATCCCACTCCCAGCACCGACAGAGGGACCAAGACTAGACCATAATGCAAACTTGTCCCCCACAGTGGCAACCACCACCTCAGTGGCCTTTCTAGACACCTTGGGTCTACCATCAAGCCCAAGGCCCAGATCCCTCCATATTGGGTTCAGTTGTGATGTCAAAGTACTTGACCCACAGAGCGCCTCTCTGTGACCCCACTTACCATGGAGCAGGATCCAAACCTTGTCCCCTGGCTTGGTGGGAACCCTTGCCCACCCACCTGGCATCCGATGGGCAGGGCAGGGCGTGGTGTGTGTTAAACACCCGAGTCTTCAACTGCTAGAGCTCAAGGTTCCTTTGCTGCGGGTGGTCTAGGGAAGGCCGACGGGTGCCCTAAAAGTTTTACGTCCATGCCTTTGGCTGCTAGGACCGGGGTCCCTTCGCAGCGGGCAGCCAACAGGCTGACAGACACCCCAAAGTTTGCAGAGAGAGCTTATTACAGCTGTCTTTAGCTGCTAGGACCGGGGTCCCTTTGCAGAGGGCAGCCTAGGGAAGGCCTTCATGACCTGCTTGACAGGCAAATGTGTTTCCATATTGACAGACAATACGACAATGTATTACATCAACTGTCGGGGGTGGCTCGTTCCTCTCCCCTGTGCCAGGAGGCTGTAGCCCTATGGAATATGTGCATTGCACAAGGGGTACATATGCAAGCAGCTTACCTCCCGGGGCCTTCCAATACTCTGGCAAATCACCTCTGCAGGGCTTTTTCACCACACAAGTGGTCCTTCAAAGGTAGCTCATTCCCTCTTCCACTTGGGGACTTCCCTACTTCCGGATCTGTTTGTACCTTGAACTAACAGGAAATGTCCCAGATTCTGCTCGTACAGGGGTCTTAGTGAGGGGTCAGTGGGGGATGCCCTGATAGAGAGGTGGCTGGCGGGCCTTCTCTACGTCTTATCCCCCTGCCCTTCCCTGTGGTGCACGAAGTCAAGGGTCAAGAGATTCGGGGCATCGCTGATACTCAT